AAAAAAAAAAAAAAAAAAAAAAAAAAAAAAAAAGTACTTATGTTTATGAGTCAGTTTCACAGTACATATCAAAGACAATTTTAAAATAACCATATACTTTAAATAGTAGTTTTATTTCTGATAATATACCTTAAAGAAGTAATATGAAATATAGAAAAAAATCCCTATTCATGTTCACCACAAATTTAGAATAGCAAACAAAACTAGAAACAGTGTAACTATCTAATAAATGGCTACTGTTAAGGAGACAAAGATATAGCCACATAAATGAAGCCTTAGAGCTTTATTAAAAAATGTGTCTTTTTAGCAATATAGAAAATTTGTATGATATAATGTTGAGTGAAAAGAAAGCTATAGTTAAATCCATATTTCAGTTTTAACCATCAAATTATTTACATATGATAAAGTTTACAGGAGGTCATAAAAAAGTGGTAATAGTTGAAGTATGAGGAAGTTAGTTTTATATGTACATTTTTACATATGTTTTTATTTTTCTATTTCCCAGACTGTAACGTTGTTGAAATTTTTTATTTAAAAAAGCAAATCACTGGATCTTGAATTTATTTGTGAAATAAAATGTTTTCTTAGTGATTTGTAATTACAGATGTATTAGCTGATCAAAATGACTAGCGGCATTTTAAATTACTACTGTAAAAGCTACAAAATAATATGTTACATTTTCAGAATTTTTAAAAGTGGAATACCAGTCTCACATTCCCTTTTCTATCAGATTTTTAATATATGATATATATTTCTTTCTTAGGAAGTGTGGGCATGTTGGCATGAGTTATTGTCATACTTGGAGAAGGCAAACAAGTGGCTAAATGAAGTAGAATTCAAACTTAAAACCACTGAAAATGTTCCTGGTGGAGCTGAGGAAATCTCAGAGGTGCTAGACGTAAGTTGTGAATTAATCTAAATGATGGCAATTTATATGCAGTATTGAAAAAGGTCAAGTACCAAATAGAAAATAAATTCAAGAAAGAAAATAATAAAAAATATGGACGAAGAATCCTACATGCAGGAGAGTGTATTTACTATGCATCACTCAGCACTGGCACTTTGGATAAAGCTTTTGATCCCTCTAAAAACCTTCCTGGTGTCAAGGTTTTAAAGAGGGTTTAAATAAGCTTTTACAAAGAGAATGTTTTGTTATATCACTAAATTCTATGTAGACACTTTACCTACTTAAATCTAATGCACAATTTTGCTCCTTTAGAGTAGAGCATAACAGAATGATAATATGAAACATTACTTCAGTTTAACAGGTACATTTACTAAGTTGGAACGTACCTTAAAATTATTTAAAATCACAAATTGGCACCTTACATGATGTTTCGAGGTATTAAATGGATATGCTTTGACGTTAGAAATGTATCTTTCAAATGTCCATAAAATTTTAGTACATTTTCAAATTTTATTTTGGAGACTTTTAGTAAGTAAATTTTAAAGGAGTTTGCATGTATAATAAGCTTTAATTATATTAACTTCTGACATTTAATTATTTATGCTTGATGCATTTTATTGTACTTTTGGCTTGTCATTTATATGTAATGAATATGTAGTTTTAGCAATGTAGTATATGCAGATCTGTATGTAGTATAGCCCCTCTGTAAATCTTCAAAATAAAAAGTGTAAATTATACAAGATGTGAAGAAAATGTGAAATGTTTCTTCAGACAGTATAGAATTGGAATCCAAGAACATCAGAGCAGAAACCTACAGATCGTTTTATCCAACTTCCTTTTTTCACAAGAAAATTGTAAAACCTGAAGAGGTATCAAAGAACATTGAGGGAGGTCTCAAGTGGACTATAATTTTGGTCCTGTCCTATTCAGAGACATTTATCGACTGACCACTCCTTGTGAAACAAGAATCTGATGCATCATTCAGAAAATATAAAGCAAACTTATAGCACATTAGTAAAAAGACAGTGGACAGAACAAGGGTGTGATGATGCATTTATCTTATGAAATGATCAGGTTGTACATGGAGTACAATGTTAATTTCTTGATAGCACATTTTAAGCAATGTGCTGAAAGCTAAGGCATGTTCAGAAAAAAATAACGAAGACAAGAAAACTTGAGGCAGTAACAGACTATTTAGAAAAGGGAAGGGAGACAAAAGCTTCCTATTTCTATTGATAATTTTAAGTTAAATTGATTCTTTGGCAATATTGCTGCTGTTCATTCAGGAAGACATTTTGAGTAGAAAAGGGCTTAACCATTGTTCGTCAATGGTAGAAAAACTGCATAGCTAAGTTTTCTTGCAACTCAAGATTCTTTAATTTTGCTTTGTTGCTTTTAGTCCACTTTTTTTCTTGAATGAGCAACCTATGTACTTTATTAGGACTTATAAAGAAAATAAATATATCCATTAAAATATATATTTGGAAAGTTAAGATTTGCTAGAAGTGATAAAATTTACAAGTACAAGGAAAGCTGTTAATAATAACAATTTCTACTAAAAATGTGATGGCCTTTTAAATATTTCATAGTCATATTTATTGTACAAACTCATTTAGGAATACACTATGTTTTGCATTCCTCAAAATTTAACATGAAAATATATTAAGGTTCTCAAAATTTGAGAAATGGTAGATATATAAGAAAATACAAATATGTATTGGGACATTTTCATTCCTTTGAAACAAAGGAAACAATAGAGCATTGAGTGAATTGGTTAGAATATGATGCTCATTACTTATTTTGTAGACATGTTTCAGATCCAGTGAGATGATATTGAATCACTTGTTTTCTAACATACCTAAACCTGACACTGAGATTCCTTTTCCCTGTATCATCTAGCCAGGCAACGTTGTCAATTTTTAATAGTATATCAGCTAGGGATCATAGGGCTGTAAATAATAGAAAATCAGACAATGGCTTAAGCTCATAAAATAATCTGTTCTCACCACAAAAAGAAGACTGGAGGGAGGTTACCCAAGAATGATTATGGTTCAAACACAGGATGAGGCACCCAGGCTCTTTTTCTTTCTCCTCACACTTCCTGAGCATGAAAGACCTCGCAGTCCAAAGATGGCGGGTTTACCTCCAGACTGTGTATGTGTAAAAAATTATGAAGGGCAAAGGAGTTTCTTTTTGAGAGACTCTACCTACATATATTTTCAGAATCATGTCACCTTGACACCACTAGCTATAACAGAAGTTGAAAAATGGAGTATTTTCCTTTTCCTGGTTTTAGAGTAGGAAACATCAAGGAGGAAGATAGCTGCAAATCATTTTTTCGGTGCTCAGTACACAATGTTACCACAAACCTGTGAAGATTCACATAGAGCAATGTTGTTTTTCGAAACATCAATGCTCCTTCGTGTTTTATTATTCCAATTAAATCTTGCTTTCAATTGCTCATGACTTAATTATATGTAAATCAGAAGATACTAAGCATTTTGTGTTAATTCAATGTATTTAGAAAAAGAAGAAAAGTAGTAATTATTGCAAATGTGTTTCAGTCACTTGAAAATTTGATGCAACATTCAGAGGATAACCCGAATCAGATTCGCATATTGGCACAGACCCTAACAGATGGAGGAGTTATGGATGAATTGATCAATGAGGAACTTGAGACATTTAATTCTCGTTGGAGGGAACTACATGAAGAGGTATGATGATATGTGAAAAATCTCTTTAATCTAATTTGCATAAATGCATAGCAAATATAACCCTCTCAGATAAAACGAGGAATACTTTAAATATTAACTCAGCTTCCAGGTTTGAGAGACTGTTCAATGCCAGACACTGGTTAATTTTTTTACATGTGTGTTATATCATTCAATCTTACAAAAATATTGCTAAGTAGGATTTTTAACAGGAAACAGAAACATGCCAATAACAGTATCATATTCAGGACCGGAAACTAATAGTTAACCTAGTATTGAAAGTCAGATTTTATCTAACCACAGAGATCTTTTCCTTAGCCAAGATTAACCAATATGTGTGGGTATCCTCTTTTTCTCTTCCTCCCTCTCTTTCTTTTTCTCCCCCTCTCTCTCCACCCCACACACATTTTTTATGGTCACACGTAATCTGCTAATAATATATGTGATTCTGTCAGTACCATGAATATTGTTGATTCTTCCTAAATAATATACAAAAGTTATTATTTATATATAATGAGAAATTTTCTTATTTCTGAATTTACATGTGGCATGATTTTTCAAATCAACAATAAAACAAAATAACATATTTCTCCTAGTCAAACAGTGTTTTACATACTGTCTTCTAAATCAAGAATGGGATATTTGATGGACTATTTGTCAAAAAAAACACCCTATTTCATAATGAAGTTTAGTTTCATTTCCATTTACTGAGTGCCTCTACTACATGTGAGACACTGTTCTACAGTTGGTAAGAGGTAAGAAAAAATCCCTGTTTAGCAAGCATTTATTGATTTCCAAGTGTGTGCAGTACATAAAAAGAAATAATATCCATATAAGGTGGAAAGGGAACAAAAGAGGCTAAGGGAGTGGTAACTAGGAGAGTGTGCAGGAAACCTTTTGATATTTAGGTGGGGGACATATTTTATATGCCGATGAGTTGGAAGAAAACTCCTGAGTAGAACAACCTCCTCTCTCCGATTCCGAAGAGAAGTAGGTGAGGGTGGGGCAGATCCATGTGAATATGCCAGCAACCACTTCCAGCCTTTAATCCTGCCACTATATTTGGTGAGTAGTTTTTCCATATCTCTTCATGTCAAAATAAGGGATTGGAGATTTAAAAAGGGGGATTCCAAACAGTCTCTTGACCATTTACCATTGTTGCACTGTTACTGGATATGAGTCAAAGTAGATATTCCTAGGTGGCAACTGAATTGAAGGTCATTTAAATTTGGATTTTGACATAGAATTAGAATTTGCTTTTATTTATATTTGAATATTAATGTCAGGTAAGAGATTATAGATCAAGCAAAAATATCAAGTCACATTTTAGACTAACCTTCATTAAGTTATGAAAAGGCCCAGCTTTTAATCTTTAACATTGTTAGGTGTTGATTTGTTTTGTCCTTAGGAATGGACTACTCTCTAACCTGATCTTGGCATCAACCCTATTTATGTAATTATCTCGCCATCCTTTATAAACACAAAACTACGTATTGCCTTATATTTCAAAAGGCCTTTGGTGTGAAACCTGATACTTCCCCCAACATAAATAATAATTCAACTCAACAATAAACCTTGTTTGAACACCTCTGCTATATTCTGGACTGAACTGTTAAATAAAGCATGGAATTTTGAGTAAGAAAAACTTGAGCTGGAACAACCCTTTGTATTAGACAGGCTCCAGACAGGGCATAGAAACTACATGGTCACTTGAACAGGAAAGATTTGATAAAGAGAAGTATTAACAATTTATTAGGAATTAAGTTTTAAAATAGAATATGAAAGAACTGTAAATAATGCCCTAGGGCTGAAAGATAGTACCAAAGGCAGGAACTGACTTGGAAAGGGAAGAGCTCTACCCAAGGCTGGATTCAAACGTTTTTGAAAAGAACGTCTACAGCCCATAAGATGGCAAAGAAATTTGCTTGGTTGGCCATACTCAGAGCTAGTTCACAGTCACTGGGCTGAAGCTACTGTGAGGGGAATATTGGGATGGAATGCTGACAAAATTCGCAGGGAAGTAGCCTGTGGAGGATGCTATTGAATTTGCTGGAAGTTGGCTGGTGTTCCCATTGGACTCACTGGGAAGCTACCTGCAGTAGGTACTGTTGAACTTGGGAAAACCAGGTGGGGCTCCTGGAAAATGCCTATAGATTTGCCACCCACGCTTAACTTGCCTGAGGGGTACCCATAGAATTTATCAGATACTACCCTTAGAGGGTGCTGCTAGAACTCTTCGAGGGGGCGAGGGATGAGATGAGCTCTGCTGGGCAACCCACAGGCCAACCCAGAGCCACAGAAGTGAGAAAGAAGTAAAAGCGCACTGGAACAGAGAAACCGTTACCTTCCCCATCGTCACTCTAGCGCCCTCTGCTGATAAAACTTAACATCATTCCAGCTGGTAAAGAGAAAAAAGTTCCAGTATATTAAGACAATGATGAAAGACAATAAATTGATAACTGGCAAATCCCCCTACAATTCACTGGGTATATGACCTTGGGTAACGTTTTCAAGCTGCTATTTCCTCATCTGTGATAAGAGATCCTGCTTCATAGGGTTCCTGTAAGCAAAATATAAAAATACTATGTTGAAAGTGCTTACTATGGTGCCAGAAACATAGTACATGTTCAATAAATCATCAGTATTTTTATTTTTACTAGAACATATGCTAGAATGCCTACCCTCAAAAAAAAGTGTGTGTGTGTGTGTGTGTGTGTGTGTGTGTGTGTGTGTGTGTGTGTGTACACATATATGTGTGTATATCCCACCAAGGTCAGAGATAAGGAAAAAGTACACATATTCCAATATGAAAAATAATGAAACATGCATGCCTCCATTAATTAAGTAAAATGCATAAGATAGAACAAAAGGATTTTTATCATTCTATAAGTCTTAAAATTGGAAGAAGCTCTTCAGTTCTATTTCAATAATCAATTAAGCAGAATGTTATAATGACAATAAATAAACCTGATATAATCAGTCTTGGTTATGCTTATATTAGATATTTAGACAATAATAACCTGAGAGTTATTAGGCAATAAAAAAAAGCGCATTTGTTGCTTTCAGACTTTCTTGAAAACCACATCATGTTAGATATAATATCCTTCTCAAATTCTGTTTCTGTGGTCTTTAATGAGCTGGTGTGACTTTAAAGTTATGTTGTTGGCTTAAAATGATGGGTAGTAACAGGGCTTTCCTATTTCTTAGGGTATAATTTGGGAACTTTGATTAATTCCAAACTACTTAGGTAACAGAGAAATAGAGAAACACCTAGTAATTTGTAGCTAAATCATTCCTTTGGAAGTTCCCAACAACTACCTAGTTGAAAAAACTGTTGTTTTGATGCAGTGTAGATGGAGCCTTGGGATAAATTATTAAGGGTCTGGGGAAATAAAATGATTACAGTAGCAATGTTTTTGAATTGATTTTTTTATGTTCCAAAAAAATCCATGTTGTACATTAATGTATTATAATCATGAATTCAGAATTTGTTTTAAGCTGTAATTTTCTTGATTTTTATTTTGGTTGGCTAAAGAAAAACAGTTTTTCAAATAATATACAAAGTGCCTTTCATTTGAAGATGAGCCTTTACCCATTTTCTTCTCAATTAAATGCCCATGTCAGAGGTTTGTGGTTATTTTTTATTGCCTATGTAATGTTTCTTATAGCTGCAATTATGCAAAGCTAAGGTAACATTCAATTGCCTGTTAAATCAATCAAACAGCCAGAGTTTTTATTGCCTATGAATATTTAAAAGAGATATGCTAGATCCCATTCCTAATTTCAGTGTGAGTTTGCATTCAGATAAGTAATAAATTATTTCCATCACTTTAAAAGGCATCTTTCAGTCTCTTTCACTCTTCATAATTATAAGGCACTATATTTTCTACTCACGGTAATAATTTGAAAGATGGTTAGCAAGCCAAGAAACGGCTTCAAACATCAGACCAAATCATATTTTTACAACTATTTATAATAGCTTTTTTCTCCACCAGAGTAACCAAGCTGCAGAAGATATTTTAATAATACTACAAAATACATAATAATAATAGTAATATTATAATAGTTGCAAAGACTAATTTACTGTATAATTGTCGAATATGTATTTTCTCACTTAGTTCTCACAATAACCTTATGATATAGGATCTTTTATAACCCCATTTTATAGAAATGAAAAGGGTATCAAACATCAAAAAACTAGGAAGAAGCTATGGAGCATTTAGACCCAAGTTTTTTGTGCTTAGGCACTGGACACATGATCATTCAACCCCATTACCTCCAATCTCTGTGATTCTTTGCTTATATTAAAAGTCATATGGAAGGGATACCTGCACTCCCATTTTCATCGCAGCTCTTGTTTACAATAGCCAAGGCATGGAACCAACCTAAATGTCTATCGATGGATGATTGGACAAGGAAAATGTGGTGTATATACACCATGGAATACTACTCTGCCTTAAAAAAACAAACAAAAAAAATGAAATACTCCCATTTGCAACAACATGGATGAGCCTGGAGAAACATGTTGATGAAATAAGCACAGCACAGAGGGATAAATATCACATGTGCTCACTCATAAGTGGGAGTTAAGAGAGAAAGAAGGAAGGAAAGAAAGACCACAGTAGTGCATTGGACTTGCAGAGGGAGAGAGGATACCTTTGGATACAAAGTGGAGTTGGAGGGAAAGGGGGAGAGTGAGGGAGGTTGGGAATAATTGAGTGGGGGACACGGGGTACAAACACAATTTGTGGTAATGTGCACGCTGCCAGTATGGATCTGGCCTTTACATCTTGGGCATGAGGGGTGACAATCAGCTTTGTATCTCATGAATATTCATAACCAATTTAAAAAAATAAATAAATGGGAAACAGAAAGTAAAAGCTGCCTCCTGAGAAGTGAGTATTGCAGTTAACTAGTTTTTCAATTTTTAGAAAAAGCTTACAACATGAGCTTAAAAGTATTAACACTGACAAGTTGAAAGAAAATATTTTAGAGTCTTAAAT